TTTGGTGGCAGTTGCTGTGGTTTTACGAACGGGTTAATAGGGCTTCAAATTAAAGTCTGGCAGATTGAACATGTGCTTGGTGTCAGTTCCTGCGATAAATAACTTGAAAGAGGAAAGTTATTTTGGTTCATGATTTTTTTTTTAAAGGGGTTAAGCCAAAACAGAACATAACAAAGCATATCAGAACAGTACAATGTAAGCAACACAGAATTTCACTAGAAGACAACCGTAATTAACAGTAACTACCACAATGTCTCTTTCTTTGAAATAGTTGAGTATAACTTCATATACAGTAGTATCAAACATAACAAAATAGTATAAAAACAGTCAAGAGAATCAGAGTATCACAGGGCATTCAGAACCAAATACCAGAAAACAAACAATGGCTATTATATAATCTCATTTTCCATAGAAAATTTGTTTATATTTTCACAGGTAATAAAATCCGGTAAGGTACAACATGATAGAGCCAATGGAAACAGAAGAGCAAAAGCATGGTAGGACTTCATAGTAAAATGATATTATACCAGTCCTGGCTATTAGAATGACTTGTTGCCCTCAAATTAGCTGTTCATATCATCACAGTTCATAAAATCAAACCAAACAAGGACAAGTCCATCACAACTAACCAATGCGATCATTATAAGGTTTCAATACAATGTAATGGGGAATCATGATTACCATAAACTCTTATGTACTCTTATTATTTCTTACACTAGGGAGACTATACGGTGTTTATACATGTGAGTTTCATTTATTTCGCTTATGAGTATGGTCTCAAGTGGCACCCATTTATTAGTAAATATCTCAATGTGATCATTCTTTATAGCTAAGTAGTATTCCATTATATAAAAATACCACAGCTTTTTTATCCATCCCTCAGTTGATGGACACTTAGGTTGTTTCCAAGATCTGGCTATTACAAATAGTGCTGCTATAAACATGGGTGCACATATATCACTGTGGTATAATATTTTCAGTTCTTCTGGGAATATGCCCAGAAGTGGAATAGCTGGGTCAAATGGGACCTCCAATCCCAGCTTTTTGAGGAATCTCCAGACTGACCTCCACAATGGTTGCACTAGTCTACACTCCCACCAATGGTGCGGGAGAGATCCTTTTTCCCCACAGCCTCTTCAGCATTTGTTGTTGGTAGTTTTCTTGACTCTCAGCGTTGTTTTAATTTGCATTTCTCTAATGACTAATGATGATGAGCATTTTTTCATGTATTTATTTGCCATTTGTATTTCTTCATCTGAGAACTGTGTATTCATCTCAGATGCCCATTTTTGGATTGGGTCTTTGAATTTCGGGGATCTGATTTGTTTTAATTCTTTATACGTTTTACACAGAAGTCCTTTGTCTGAGGGACAGTTCACTAAGATTTTTTCCCAGTTTGTGGGTTTTCTTTTCACTATGCTGGAGATTTCTTTTGACATGCAGAAACTTTTTAATAAGACATGATCCCAGTTATTGATTCTGGAAAGTAGTTCCCGTGTGGTTTGATTCCTGTTCATGAATTCTCTACCTACCCCTATGTCTTCAAGGTTTTTATCCAATTTTTCTTGCAACAGATTTAGTGTTTCTGTTTTAATATTCATATCTTTGATCCATTTTGGTTTAGTATATGGTGATAGGCATGAGTCTAGTTTTAGTTTTCGGCATATGGAGAGCCAGTTTTTTCAAGCACCATTTATTAAAGAGACTTTCATTTTTCCAGTGAACATGTTTGGCCCCTTTATCAAAGATACGGTGGTTGAGTGTGTTGGTAGTTGTGGTTGTATCTTCTAGTCTATTCCATTGACCTTCATATCTATTTATTATTCCAGTACCATGTTGATTTTATTACAGTAGCTTTGTAGTATAATTTCAAGTCAGGGATTGTGATGCCTCCTGCCTTGCCTTTGCTGCCTAGAATTGCCTTTGCTATTCTAGGTCACTTCTCGTTCCAGATGAATTTTGAAAGTGATTTCTCTAGGTCTATGAGGTATGTTGATGGTATTTTCACTGGGATTGCATTGAATCTGTGTAACAATTTTGGGAGAATGGCCCTTTTCACAATATTTATTGTCCCTATCCATGAACAAGGGATGTCTTTCCATTTTCTGAGATTATCTTCGATTTCTTTTTCAGGGTATTATAGTTTTCCCTGTATAGATCTTTTCCTTCTTTTCTGAGATTAATTCCTAAGTATTTCATTTTGTTGGATGCCAGGGTAAAGGGTGTGGCCTCTCTTATTTCTCTCTCCGTAATTTTGTTGTTAGTGTATAGAAATGCTATTGATTTTTGAACATTGATTTTATATCCAGCTACATTGAGGAGGATTTTATATCCAGCTACTATAATATCTAGGAGTCTTTCGATGGAGTTTTAGGGGTCTTTTATGCAGAGTAACATGTCATCTGCAAATAATGATAATTTAACTTCCTCTTTTTCCTGTCTTTACCCCTTTTATTTCTCTCTCTTGTCTCATTGTTCTGGCTAGTATTTCCAGTGCTATATTAAATAAAAGTGGTGATAAGGGACATCCTTGTCTTGTGCCTGATTTTAAGGTAAAGGCCTTCAGTTTTCGGCCATTTAATATGATGTTGGCTGTTGGTTTGTCATAGATTTGGTTCATGATTTCACAGGTCTCAGTTCATGGTTACTTAGCCCTGTTGCCTTTGTGCCTGTGACAAGACAGAGCACCATGTAGAACAAAGCAGCTCACCTCACGGTGCAAAGAACGAAGAGAGATAAGAAAGGCTGGGATCCCAGTATCCTCTTCAACAGCACATCCCACAGTGCCCTACTTCCTCTAGGCTCAGCCTCCTGAGGTTCACCACTTCGAGTGGTGCCAAGGCTGGTGAGCCAGTGTTTAATGCATACAGCATTGGGGTCCACGCTATCCAAACTGTAACGAACTCCCATGTAGTAATGGTGAGCATGAGAGGAGGGAACAGCGGATGGGAGACACCAGCAATGTCGTGGCAGGTGAAGGGTGGATAGACCTGTGGCAGCCCGCTTGGTATAGTAGAGAGAGTTGACAGCTAAGTTCTTTCGGGAGAAGACCTCTCAGAATCTGAGATGGGCTCTGAATTAGATAGAGGCTGTGAAGCAGGGAATAGGCCTGAAATGAAGTATTATTTGAGAGTCTGAACAAGCTAGATTACTTTTCTTATCCCATATAGCAAGAGGAAATTCTTGCCAGAGACTAGATATTTTTTTCCTTTGGATAAACTAAAATAAATAAGAGGTTTGGCTATAGAAATGCAGACAAAATAGGAAGGGTGAAATGATCAAATGGAAAAAAGAAATTTAGTGAAATTCTGCATATTAAATGATGAAGTTCTGCATTCTTACCACACTTTGATACTAGAATAATCAGGTAATTATTTATCCAGGCAGGATATCAAAGTACTTTTCTCTGGGTACAATGAGCAGACCTAGAGAAAAGACCTACAGATACGGCCTGATGATACTCAAGGAACCTCAGTGAAAGAATGCCTGACCTCCCATTCTTCCTACAGTGAACCAACATCAATAACCCTATTACTCCACCCGTTCCTTCCCACATGAACTTGGAACTTGAAGTCAGTTTTTCAGAACCTTGATCTGAAGTAGTATTAAATAGCCAATGAATAAGAAACATTTGAGGAAAGCTGACAACAAAAAGTAGATACCAAAACAAACAAACAAAAATCGTGGAGAAAGCAGAAATGCAAGGAGGAAAAAAAATAATCAAAGGCAGCATTCCTACATTAATATGAAAGAGATGAGAAAATATTGCTTTCATATAATAACAGAGGCTGTGAAAAAATAATAACATTAAAAATAAAACTTAGACATTAAAAGTAAAGTGTCAAAAAAATCACCCCAAAACCCATCAGGTAGACCAAGGATAATATAGAAATGAGATATGAAAGGTAGAAAATAAAAGACTAGAATTAACAGGTATAATATCATGCTAATAAGAGTTCTAGAAACCCTACAGAGAAAAATAAGGTGGGAAAGAAGAAATACAGTAAAATTTTGCAGAATTAGAGGACATTCGTTTGAAGATTAGCCAAAAAGAAAGAAAGAAAGAAAGAGCAAACTATAACGAAACAAACATACAAAAGATACCACTGTAAAATATCAGTATTCTTACTAAGGAAAATGGAAGCATCCTAAATCCTACAGGGAAAAGCAAAACAGGTTACTTGCGAAAATATAAATAAGTGAAATGGCACTGTTTTAGCAGTAACACTGAAATCTTACACAGTAGATTAATTCCCTCAGAATTCATAGGCAAATTACTTTCGGTCTACAATTTTAAACAAATTACCAACTGAGAAACAGAATAAAGGCATTTGAGATCTAAAATGCATAAAAGATCTAAAAAATTTATTGTCTTTGTGTCATTTTACAAGAAGCAACTGAATGGTAATTTTATCAAAACTGGACATAAGCAAAAATTATTTATGCTACTCCATAGGTAGTAGTCAAACATAAGGAAAAGCAAATTAAAATTCTAAAATGATAGTAAAAACTGACTTATAGCATCCCTAGAGAGAAACCAGTCCATGTTGCAATAGGAGACAGGATGAATCCAGGAAGAATGACTTACAGTATAAAATAAAAAACAAAAAATATATAATTCAATATATCTGGCCATGTGTAAAATAATGCTTGTATGGGTGTTCTACTTTCTCTGGAGCATTTGGGATGAATTGCTGATTCAGATAACCTGGTAAGTGAAAGAGGGAGGAGACAGTTGTAAACTCGAGAAAAATAAATGCCTATATGAAAAAAAGAAACACAAAATTAAAATAGTTTGGCAGAAATTGTTTACATAACTCACAATAATATAAATCACAAGTGTGCTAGTTCCAGGGTGAGACTAATAGATACTCTCCAGATGTGACTTAAAGAGCAAAATATTTTTATTTCCTGTGTCAGTTCAAGATGAGCATTTCAAGTGGGTAGATGTGTCTGCTCCATGCAATTCTTCAGGAACCCATATTTCTTCCACCTTGTACCCAGACATCTATGTTCCAGCTCATTAGAGGATGCAGCCAGGATGGGCCAAGGTTTAGCATCCAAGCCTGGAAGTTCATACAATGCTTTCACATCTAATGGCAGAAATTCAATTACATAGGCATATCTGCAGGACATATTCAGAATATTTAATGTCTGATAATCTAGCTACAGATCTGCTATAAGAGTTGGAGGCAGGTTCTGAAACCTCTCTGTTGTATCACATGCTGACTGGTTATTTTGTTTTGTTTTATTTTGTTTTGTTCTGCTAGCTGATGGGAAGTGATGGGTTGGGGAGTATCCAACATAGGAATTGGGAGAAGCTTGAGCAGTAACCATTTACAAGCTAGTATAGAAATATTAACAGTTGATACAGCTGTACAAAACATACAGATTGACCCTCTATACCCCTGACTAAAAGGAAGGTTGGGAAAACAATATTGACACAATGATAAAAGATGAATAGAAGAGGCTAAACTAATTATTATGGGACATTTGCAGTTATATTAATGTCTAAATTTTAAAGTCAAGAAATACCAATATATGCATGAATGAAAAAAACTACAAAGAAACCAAATGTATTAAATATATCACTATAAAATGTGGGTGTAGTACTAAGGAAAATGGAAGCATCCTAAATCCTACAGGAAAAAACAAAACAGGTTACTTGCAAAAATGTAGAAATATGAAATTGAGTAGTAGAAGAAATAGCCAAGGTGTTTATAGGTAATTTGTTTTTGAAGTGAATGGAGGGGTGACACAGGATACTGCTATTTTTTTTTCACTGTAGCCTGGTAGTATACTTTAAATTTTTAAATAATTTTCATGGGTTTCTTGGATAAAAATAGTAAGAAAAAAAGTATTTCAGTGATAAAAAGTGGACTGGAGAATGATTTACCTTGTATCCAGGCCTTTAAAAGTGTGTCTACTAAAAGTTTAAAAGCATTATTGCTGTACAGTTAGGCACCCCCCCCCCAATAATTATGGCTCCAGGACTCACTCTGTCTCAGAATCTTTTGGATGAGCTTTTAAAAAACTTCAAATGACTCACCATCTCAAAATTCTGACTTGGCTTTGGTTGGGTTCCAGGGGACCAGTAATTTCTCAAAGCTCCCCAGCTGCTTCTGATATGCAGTTGAGGGTAACTCCTTTAGTCAGAGGTTAAACATCTTCACTTCTCCTTCATGAACATCTTTTGTATTCTTTCCATCCTGTCCTCCCTCACTGCTTCTGTTTCAAGTTGCATCTTCCTCTGCTCTAAGATCTAAACCAGGCTGATCTTCTTCAGGTTAAAGAATAGGAAGAAAAAGAGGATGAGAGTTCTCACTGAGATGACCTGCGAATGATGGAAATAACCATTCAGAAAGCCAGTATTTTTTTCTTTTCGTTTTACAGAAACCACTATAAGTAAATATTTTACCATATGCACCAATAGCTGCATTTCTAGTTGGCAACGAGGATCAGCAGCAGTTTTCATAGCCCACTTATTTCTATGAAAGTGGCTCTCAGGGGAACACATCTAGGAAGAAAAACAATCTTTTCATAAAGAAACTAATTATCACCTGAGATAGAGAGGAGGTTTGATGTGATGAATGAATTTCAATATGATGTCTCTTCATTGAGGAGAACCTTCTGTTTTCTTTGTCTTTTCAGTGAGAGGCCATGTGGAAAGAAATGCTATAAACACAAGTTTGGTACTTTATATTTTCTTCTGAGAAATGTATATGTTTAATTCTATCTCGTTGTACATATATACCTATAAATGTGTTGCACTTGTTTAAAAAAATCAAAGAATTGGTAAATATTAACTAAGATAAACTTCATGGAGGCCTACATATATGCACATGATTTATCTGTTCTCTTTCTGATGGGCCTCCTTGGCTAAGAGGAAACAAGTTAATACCCTAGGCAATTTAGGAGCCGCTATTGAGCTTATCTATATTTTCAAATTGCCTTGAAGTTATTGAAATTGTTGTGAAATGTAATTTGAAAGGTTTTCTCAAAAGAATGTAGAAACGTATGGAGACTTTAACCATTGAAACAATTTCATATAATTTACAAATAAAAGCCAGACAGAAATTAATATACACCCTTCTTTCTAGGGTAATAACTTAGTCCATCCACAATGCTACAACAATGTGCCATAAATTGGGTGACTTATAAACGACAGAAATCTTTCTCTCAGTTCTGGAAACTGGGAAATCCAAGACAGAGATGTGAGTATTTTGGTGTCTAGTAGGTTCCACTTTCTAGTTTTGACTGTCTCTCACATGGTATGAGGGAGCTGGTTTGCTCTCTGGGATGTTTTATAAAGGAACCAATCTTATTGTGCTTCATGATGTAATCATGTTCCAAAGGTCTTGTGTCTTAATACCATCAACTTAGTGTTTCAGATGTTAGCATAAGAATTTTAGGGGAACACGAACACTCAGACCACAGTAAGTAGTCTTTTCACATTATTCATGAGGAGTCAGGAGACTTGAGTCCTGGTTGTGATGTGTTGGTAAGGATTTGTAGTGTCAGAAATCTACCTTGCCTCTCTGTACTTTTGTTTCCCCATGTATAAAATGGAATAGTTGGCCTAAATTACTACCAAGATCATCTGGAATCATCTGATTCTGGAAAGTAATGAAACACAGCCTGTAACCATAGAGAGCAAAGTTGATTGATAGATCCAAAAATAGATTTATTTTCTCCTGTGTAATGTGATGCTCTCCCATTAAGTCTCTCTGTGACTCTGTATATTGCCTTAATAAACCAACTTCTTGATTTTTTAAATGCCAGCTGTTCAAAATGAATGGAAGACTGTCTTAAGAAATACGAGACAAATGAGTTCTTGTCTCTTTCTTTTAAATATAGATCTGAATTATTGTGCTGTTTTTCATTCTTGCCAAAGGTATTCAAAAAGCAGAAGGCAATGATTTGGCAAATTTAGAAACTATTTCACATTGTTTCTTGCTTTCTTTGTGTTTATGTGAGAATCCCACTCAAAAATATTATTTTCTCTTAAAATATGCTTTCTTTTTATTTTTACCTTTCTGCTGGCAACAAGTCCATAACTGTAAATACTTAGGGATTTTGCTGAAATCTTTGTGTTGATTTCTTGAATCTAAAATGCATCTTGACCTAGCTGAAACCAGTACAAGGCTGGGAGGCAAAGTCTTCCTCTCTGTGAGCATCTGTGCTGTATCCAGTCCATTAAATGACCATTTTAAATGTCTTAAGAATTAGCAGAAATTTACCTTTTACTTTATTCTGTATTAATGTATATCCTAAATGGCACATCACTCACCAACTATGTGAGACTGGACAAGTTGCTTACTTTAACTCTTTCCTCCTCTCTATATTTTGGATTTTACCTCTACTATAAATTGTAAACAACTCACAGAGAGAAAAGTTAGGGAAAACACACCCTTCACAGTAGCATCTAAAAAAATGAAACACTTAAGAATCAATCTAACAAAGGATGCAAAAGATCTGTACAGTGAACGTTACAATACCCCAAAAAGGAAATTGAAGAAAATATCAGAAAATGGAAACATATCCCTTGCTCTTGGATAGGAACAACCAACATGGTGAAAATGGCCATACTCCCAAAACTGCTATACAGATTTAATGCACTCTCAATCAAAATACCATTAGCAAACCTCAAGATCTAGAGAAAACAATCCTAAAATTCATTTGGAACCAGCAGAGACCTAGAATACCAAAAGCAATTCTGGGCAACAAAGGTCAGTCAGCGGGCATCACAATCCCTGACTTGAAATTATACTACAAAGCACCCCAGAAAGAATGGCTATCATCAAAAAATGAACTGATGATAAATGCTGGCAGGGCTGTGGGGAAAAAGGAACCCTTCTCCACTGTTGGTGAGAATGCAGACTGGTGTAACCACCTTGGAAATCGGTGTATATATTCCTTGAAAAACTAGGATTGGAGGTCCCATTTGACCCAGCGATTCCCCTTTTGGGTATCTTCCCAGAAGAATTAAAACATCACATCATCCAACAGCAATGTAGGTACACCCATTTTTACAGCAGCATGATTTATAATAGATTTATAATAGACTTATAATATAATGATTTATAATATAATTATAATATATAATTATAATAGGGAAACAAGCCAAATGTCCATCAGCCGAGGAATGGATAAAAAGATGTTGGGTTTTCTTAATATAATGAAGTACTACTCAGTCATGAATAATGATAAACTGGAGATTTTTATAGATAAAGGGATACAACTGGAGACCATACTCATAAGTGAAATAAATCAGACCCACATATGTAAACATTGTATTATCTCACTAGGGTGAGAAACTGAACTGAATGAGGTCCAAAATGTACTATAGATACTGTGAATTGGGGAGAAATTGTTCAAAAGAAAAGATCAAGTATGATAGAGGAAAGAGGAAAGGGAAAAAGAAATACATATTTATACACAAGACAGTTAATATTGTTGTACAGCTAGTTTCTCTTAGTTCATTGAAAAAGGTTTTTGCTAATGTTTTTTGTACAAGAGGTCATGCCTGTAATCTTGTACTCCGAATAACTATGAAGACAACAATTCACAATGTATTAGTTATTGTAACTCTCCTAATCTGTTCTGAAACTTTTAGTTTTGCCATTATTTTTTTCCTTTCTTTAAAATAAAAAAATAAATGGAGCCTTTAGGTCCAAAATTATTTTCTTCTCCTGACTTTCTAACCCCCACTTCCCTTTCCCCTTCATGTACTTTCTTTTTCTTTCTGCCTTTGTCGTCCTCTCTAACTAAACTGGCTGATGGCAGTCAGCAGTGTTTTTGATAGTGGTCAGAAGCCGACTTGGTCGGAGAGTTGCTGTGTTGCTGAGAACAGGCTGAGGAGGAGGTCCAGGCTGATATTTTTGAAGATGAAAGCAGGGAACCGTGGGCCTCTGTATGTGGGTGGCCTTTGTAAGTTACAAGTGGCAAGGAAACAAATTCTCCCCTAGAGCTTTAAGAAAGGGGCACAGACCTGCTAATACCTTGATTTTAGTCCAGGGAGAATCATATCTGACCTAAAGAGCCATAATATAATGCATTCATTGTTTTAAGCCACTAAATCTGTGGCAGTTTGTTGCAGCAGCTATATAAAATGAATATACAGAG